CTAAGCATCTATAATAATTCAGGAGATGTTGATTAAAAGTCAAAGGATGGAATAGAGGGAAATCGTTGAGAAGGGGAGAGAGGCAGGAGAAGGATGGAACATTGGAGGTGCAGCAGTAGGAAATCAGTTTGAGAACTATGGCGATCAGGGAGGAAAGGAGTTGTTTTGTTTTTGTTTTTGTTTTCATTTTTTAGAGGAAATGCATTGGAGTTGGCTAGCACTTTCCTGTTTTGACGTGATGTCACAAATCTGTGAAGGCTGGCTTATGATTATGAATTCGTAGGATACATTTTTCCCCTTCTCCTAGTGCCATTTTTCTTGCTGACCTCTTCTGCATGGCCGACTTATCTCCTTTTAACCTTCAGTGAAGATACAGTTCTTTGAGTTTCAGCTTCAAATGGAGTCTCCTGCTAGATTGGCCGCTCTGGGTGGTCCAGGCCTCCTCATCTTTTGTCTTTGGTGTTCCTTGCAGCCATAAAAATGAAATTCCCAGGTCCGTAAGCTTCGGTAGTTAGCTTTAGGGCAGAATATGGTGTCAGTACATGCGTAATTCCTGAGGTTCGGTTTTCATTTAGTTTTTGTTCTCTGAGGATTCCTTTGTTCTCAGCACAATTGTTGACATAAAAATATATTACACATTTTATTTATTTATTTATTTACTTATTTTTACACAGACCTTATGGTACTTACAGCATTTAATGTAGTTGACCTCGGCTTTGTTCACACTGACTCCAGTGACTTGTATTTGGGTTTTCTGTGCTTGAGACTCTGCTCAGTTGCTGCCGTTGCCCTTGGTTTGTTTTCTTTCAGGATCAGCGTGGGTACTTTCATACTTACATACTTACATTTCAAGTTTCATATAAAATCTTATTTTTAATTCCTTCCCTGGCAATTCTTTCCTGGATTTTTAGCTTTGCATAATTATACCTACAATTGAGCCAGCATCCTAAAGTCACCAATATTAATCCTCCTACTCCAACATCACGTGATCTTCTAAATTTACTAGTTAACAAAAAATGCCCAAGGCCAGCCACAGCAGATCCTAGTGAACCATATAACATCGAATCCCGTGCACAGGGAATGTTTTCAGCATCTAAAATTCCTAGGAGCTTAAAGGGCTTCCCCTAGCGGCGCCTGGGTGGCTCAGTCGCTTAAGTGTAGGAATCTTGGTTTGGGCTCAGGTAATGATCTCAGGGTTGAGAGGTTGAGTCCCACCTTGGGCTCCACGCTCGGCGTGGAGTCAGCTTGTCCCTCTCCCTCCCCCTTGTCTCCATCCCCCCTCGTGCATGTGTGTACACTTTCTCAAATAAATGAATTAAATCTTTATTTTTTTTAAGCTTTTATTTATTTGAGAGAGAGAGAGAGAAAGGGAGAGCATGAGTGGGGGGAGAGGGAGAAACAGACTCCCCACTGAGCAGGGAGCCCCACCCAGGGCTGGATCCCAGGAACCCCTGGGATCATGATCTGAGCAGAAGGTAGACACTTAACTGACTGAGTCACCCTCGCACCCCATGAATAAAATCTTAAAAAATAAATAAATAAATAAAGGGCTTCCCCTTGGCAGGCTCACCAGGCTTTAGTGCTGTAGTCATGGTTTTCAGTGGGTGCCTGGGGCCCTGTCTGGCCTGTGGTATATATTAAACATTTTAAATGCAGACTTTAAATCCAGCTTTTTTTTTTTTTTTTAAGATTTATTTATTTTAGAGAGAGAGAGAGAGAGCATTAGTGGGAGGGGTAGAGGGAGAAGGAAAGAGAATCTCAAGTATTCTGCACCAAGCTCAGAGCCCAATGTGGGGCTCAATCTCACTCCTGAGATCATGACCTGACCTGAAACCAAGAGTCAGATGCTTAACTGGCTGAGCCACCCAGGTTCTCCTAAATCCAGCTTTTTAAAAGTGTTTTTATTGGAAAAGTAATTTAACATGCCGTTGGAATTTAAAGATTAAACTAATTCTTAAGGGTGCCTGGGTGGCTCAGTTGGTTAAGCGACTGCCTTTGGCTCAGGTCATGATCCTCGAGTCCCGGGATCGAGTCCCACATCAGGCTCCCTGCTCAGCGGGGAGTCTGCTTCTCCCTCTGACCCTCTTCCCTCTTGTGCTCTCTATCTCTCATTCTCTCTCTCTCAAATAAATAAATAAAATCTTCAAAAAAAAAAAAAAACTTAAAAAAAAATCAGGACTTATCTTCTATTTTTTTTTTTTTAAAGATTTTTATTTATTTTTTTAGAGAACGAGCAAGAGAGAAACAGCATGAGAGGGGAGAGGGTCAGAGGGAGAAGCAGGCTCCCCGCCGAGCCGGGAGCCCGATGCAGGACTCGATCCCAGGACCCTGGGATCACGACCTGAGCCGAAGGCAGACGCTCAACCATCTGAGCCACCCAGGCGCCCCTTATCTTCCTATTTTATTTAACAATCTTTGACCCCTGAACACATAAGATGTAGAAGAAACCGAAGTACAAGCTCAAAGCCAATTATAGAAATGCACACACATACACACACAGATAGGTAGGTAGGTAGGAGGGGAGATAATACAGAGAACCAGCTTTGGGCATTTATGTGACTTATTTATGTGCTATTAGGTTAGTTTAAATTTGATAGCCTTCCCTAGGCTTACATGAGCTAGGGAATGGCTATCATGGCTACAGCACTATCCATCAGACGTCTGCTTAAATGCAAAAACAGCCTTTCTGTGTTTATTGAGAGATTTTAAAAAACCTTGGCCAAGTTTCACATCCCTTGATATATGTTTGTACCCAGAACCTTTTGGGAAGATTACTGTCATCGACAGCTAAGAAGAATCCTGTCACTTATGAACTGTGCTAGCATGATAGAAGGTCACTATATTTCTGAGAAAAGTGGCTAGACACTCAGGAGTAATGGGCAAAGGGAAAGAAAGTTAATTAAAAGCACTAAGAGCACTGAATATTACCAGTTCCAGCTTTTCTTGAGTTTGGTTTGTGTGGAGGAGATCTACTGAAGGAGTTTCATTGTGAGAAGTTCATGTTCTTCAAAAAGACCTGTCTGTCTTTTGAAGTAAGACATGTACATCTTGACTTACTCTGAGTCCAGAGAATCTCTATTTAAAGGGCTGGCAGTATATAGAAAAACACTTTTTTTTTTTTTTAAGTAGGCTCCACACCCAGCATGGAGCCCAACATGGGGCTTGAACTCATGACTCTGAGATCAAGACCTGAGCTGCGATAAAGAGTTGGATGCTTAACTGACTGAACCACCCAGGTGCCCAAGAAAAACACCTTCTTTTTCAGACTCATTTTAATTTCGGTTCAGAAGAAAATAAAAGAGATCTATTTCATTGCTATAAGTATTTCTGTCAGATAATTAGGTGATGAAGGAGATCGGGTTGTGTAATGGCACCTCCATGCACGTATTCTTCCTCTGCCAACTCCCTCCTCGCCCCCGTTTTCCCAATAAGCATCGATTCAAATTCTGGCTTTGCCACTTAACTAAGGTGACTGGTCGGTAAGCTGAGTTCAAGTTTCTAATGAATCAAATAGGAATAGTGTCAACCTCAAAGACATCATTGTGAGAATAACACGATGTGTAAAATACCTCATGCCAGGCAGATTGGGCATTCAGTGTATATCCCTTCCCTTTCAGCTTGAATGGTAGAGAACGGATTCTCCCATCTTGGGACACTGGAAGTGCATTTCCTGTTCATTTATTATGCATTAGTTCTTTAACATTTTTAAAAACTCTTTTTTAATTGAAGTATAATTAGTGTACAGTGTTATATTAGTTTCACATTATGTGTTAATTCTTGTGGACTGCTGTGTGAAATGCTGACTAACCCATTACTGGAAGCATTTGTGAGGGATAGTTTGTCAGGGATATTGTAGAGGTCTGGACCGGGTGACCTGTAGATGCCCCCTGCAACTTGGTGTGTGTCAGCTGACCTCTCTATTACATATAATTAATTTTGACAGTCATTTCATTTCAGTCACTGTGTTATCAGGTTATTATCCTCCCATCTTTTCAGCTCAGGTATTTAGAGAAATCAGAATCTGACTGCTAAACCAATATGCATTCTATATTTGATATTAATATGGTCATATATATCTTTGTATATCTGTTTCTCCTTTGAAGGGAGGACTTCTGCATTCTTTATGAGGGAAACCCTAAGCTGATCTCTCCATTAGATTTTCTGTAGTGTTTAACTCTTTGTAGATTCATTTGGTACTCTGCATCTTCACTTTGTGTTGCCATATTTTTTTTTTTAAGATT